GGACATCAATTAGATCTTCCCAGATGAGCAGATGTTGAGAATAGATGAAGCACCTTGGTACACAAATAACGTCAATTACTTGGCCAATTCCATCCCACCGCCAGACTACTCAAGTCACCAGAGGAAAAAGTTCTTCGTCGAATTGAAGTATTATTTCTGGGAAGATCCAATTCTCTATAGATGAAGGGCTGATCAGATAGTAAGGAGATGCATACTTGAGGAAGAAGTACATGAGATTCTCAAGCACTACCACTCATCTGCATATGCAGGGCACTTTGGGGCTTCGAAAACAGCTGCAAAGATTCTACAATCAGGGTTCTACTGGCCTACACTATTTAGAGATGCCTTTGAGTTTGTCAAGAGGTGTGACAGATGTCAACGCACTGGAAATATCTCGAGGAGGAATGAATGCCACTGAATAACATTTTGGAAGTGGAGATATTCGATGTTTGGGGAATTGACTTCATGGGACCTTTTCCCCATTTATTCTCAAATCAGTACATCTTGATAGCAGTGAACTATCTATCAAAATGGGTAAAAACAGTTGTACTACCAACAAATAACTCAAAGGTAGTAATTAGGTTCTTGAAGAAATATATTTTTACCCGATATGGTACACCGCGAGCTATAATCAATGATCGGGGCAAACACTTCTGTAATCGTCAGTTTGAGCAGTTGTTGAATAAATATGGTGTTAAACATCATGTTGCTACCCCATATCATCCACAAACCAGCGGGCAAGTTGAAGTATCTAATCGGCAGCTGAAGAGAATACTCGAGGTCACAACTCATCTAGAAAGGACTAGTCTAAAAAGCTGGACGATGCATTTTGGGCTTACAAGACAGCATTCAAGACACCGATAGGCATGTCTCCATACCACCTAGTTTTGGGAAAAGCGTGCCATTTGCCACTAGAAATGGAGCACCAGGCATATTGGGCTATGAAACAGTTAAATATGGACTTGAGTGCCGCTGGTGAAAAGCGCCTACTGCAACTTAATGAGTTAGATGAATTTAGCATAGAAGCTTATGAAAATTCAAAACTCTATAGGGAACAAACCAAGAAGTGGCATGACATGCATATTTAGAGGCGAGAATTCGAAGTGGGTAGCAAGTACTATTGTATAATTCGAGACTCAAGCCGTTCCCTGGAAAACTACGATCATGGTGGTCGGGTCCTTACACTGTCACAAAAGTCCTACCATATGGGGCTATACAAGTCAGCCATGAGACTAATGGTACTTTCACTGTTAATGGGCAAAGGCTGAAACACTACTGGGGCGGTGACTTCTCCAACCAAAAGTTCACCATTAACTCGGGACGTCAGAATAAAGCAGCTGTAGAATAGTCGAGCCATCGACTATAACCCAGTGCTGGGTGGAAAGCAACCCACTGTATCTTTCGATTTATTTTACTTTTCACATTATTTTAGGAGTTGTTTAATTTTTGCATTTGCATTTTTTTTTGCTAGGTCATCAATCTTTCACGCATACTAGTCTAAGCATTACACACATAAGGTGGCATGAGTGAAGTTGATTGAAGTTGTTTTGGGGGATTGAGTGTGAAGTCATGCATTTCGATGCACAAAGTCATTCTTCATAAAAATTTTCAGAATGCATTTTAAGTTTATTCCATAAATTGGTGTTGGTGCTAAGTCCTTCAGCAAGCACATATCCCATTGAATCGGAAGTTTCTAAATTTTTCAGGAATGATATTAAACAAGTCAAATTTTTAATTGAAAACCAACTTCGGGGAAAATTTTATTTGAGGTGTGTTTTGGGGGTTAAAATTGTAATTTTGATTTTTTTTCATAATTTAGATTTTGAAGAAAAAAATGTTTGTCTATGCGACCGCATAGACAAATGGTCTATGCGGTCGCATAGACCATTACCGAAAGCAAAGTGGTCCCCATATTGTTGTACTATGCGACCGCATAGTGCAACACTAATAGTGACCCAGTTACAGGTCTTAAACCCGTAACCCACCTATTCCACACTACTTCCTCCCATCACCCTCGTAATTTCACAGTCCATTGTTATTATTGACTAATTGTTGCATGACGCATGCTTGATGAGTGAGTGTTGATTATACTTTTGCATACTTGTGTGGGCTTGATAGCCTTACCGGCTATGATGTGATTCTTGGATTGGTATAATTTATAAACTTTGGATATTGTGCTGCATAGATTAACCAATACTTGGGATGTAATACTTGACATTCTCTATGCATGCTTGACATATTAGGTGAATGACTGGATTTTGAGCATAAAGTAGGAAAAGAATGATAACCCTCTATTGAATTAACACGTAAATCACCTTAAGATAGTTTGAAATTGGTTTAGCTATTATAGGGAGTATTGAGATAAGTGGAGGCTCCGTGCATGAAATTTTATTGTGTGGATTGCCTAGACCAGTGAGGTGAAGTTTAGGTGAAAATATTAAATTGGGGGTTGGTTTTGGAAACTAAATATCTAGAACAATAACGGCGTAAAATTAATTTGTGAGAATAAGACACTTCTTTTCATGCCTTTATGACTTGAGCAAGTAAGCCTGTAAGGATATTTCAAAATCTGGTCCCCTAAGTTAACTGACCTAGGAGTCACCAGCCTAAAACTCGCTAAACGGGTCATATAGAAAGCAAGAGGGAAAAAAGTTAATAAAAAGTCATCTAAACAAGCCTTTATAACTCGAGTGAATAAGCCTGTAAGGGTTTAAAACTTGGTGCCCTAAAGCTAACTGGTTTGGGAGTCACCGGCCTAAAGCTCGTTACATGGGTTATATAGAAAGCAAATGAGAAGATGATAATAAAAAATTAAAAAAAAATGGAAAGTGAGAAAAACAAAAGAGAGACAATAACATGAAGAAAAAGCCCTTAGACATTTGGTTGAGGAAACTATACCTTCGAGGCGAGGCAAGTAATCTATTTTAATCTTGATTTTCAAAGCAATCAAATTTGGGAGAGCCTTCACTTGTTGACATGTAAACTTGTGATAGTGAGATTAATCCAAACTACGAGAGGGTAAAGATTACATCTATGTAAACTCCTAATTTTAAAACACAACCCCGGAATAATTGAGTGAAAGGAATAAGTTTGGGGAGTTGTGTATCTCCCGAGCGAGTAAGGATACATTTGACCACTAGGGGTCGGGACTCAACCCATCATGAATTTGATATGTTGGCATGAATTCACACACTCACATCAAGTATACATTTAACATGTAAAGGTTGATGTCATTTTTGCATTGATAAATTTTCATAAAGTCAAATACTTAGTCAAATCCTGAGTCACGATAGGGTATTAAGTCATGTTTGTTCAGAATTAAGTCACCATCTTGTTTGAGAACAAATAATAGTTCAAGTTTGGGGGGTTTGATAAGTGTGTTTTTGCACACTTATTTAGATCACAAACATGACTTAATTACAAGCAAAATGTTTGAATTGTAACTTAATCTCGTTGAATTCATGTAATGTAGGTATTTCTATGGAAATGGTGGAATTCAGGAGAAAAGAGCCGAAAAAGGACTAAAATGGAGTAAAGTGAGAGTTCAGGGACTAAGGATGCAAATATTCAAAAGTTGAGCTAAAACGCAACCCGGGAATGCAAATAGGTTAAGAATGAACTCGAAAGCGATACAAGATGATTGGAATAAGAAGGAAAGGGACTAAAATAAAGAAAAATGAAAGTTCAAGGACCAAAATAGACATTTTGCATAGTTGGCAGCACTGTGCGACTGCATAGTGCTACCCTCTACGTGGTCGCATAGAGGCTTCCCAAGAATTTTTTCTCAAATTTTTTTTACTCTATGCGACCATTTAGAAATGTACAATGCGGTCGCATAGAAGAAGTTCTGGGGCCGATTCTGCAGTTTCCTTATACGATTGAAACTCTTTTGGTAACCTAATTTTCACGCGATATAAATACCAAAAGACATCCGGAAAGAAGCAGAATGTATTGAAGGCAGAAAAACACTTCTTGGAGAGGATTTTGAGCACAAGAACGAAGATTTACACAAAGAGCTTCAAGATTTCTCAAGATTTCATAACCCGGTGATGCCTTTTATCCAAAATCTGATGTATTCTTTTATTTTAACCATTTTAGGCTAGATTTTCATGTGCTAGGTGATCGATGTTTCATGTAATTTGATCTTTAATTTTCTATTTTTGCGATTTGATATTAAAACATATTTATATTATTTTGAATGATTTATATGCAATTATTGTTTCCACAATTAAGGGCCCGTAATTGTGTGAGTTTGGGTGATTTATTCTTGCATTCGAAAGAATTGAAATATGTTCGATATAATATAAATCATCATAGGGTCCGATAGGGAATAAAAATATACCGCTATGCCCTGTGTGAATCTTTAAGTGTTCATAAAACCGCATGCATTTTTACATATGCACTTGTCATATAAATATAGGCCAGTGGTATATAGAAATAGGTTCGATACATCTCGAGAGAGAGTATTGGATAGACATAGGAACATTGATTCGTCACAATTAAAGTGTGTTGTCACATTGTGAAACTATGGTTTTAAAGTGATAATTGCATGGAAAATCGTGATCCTAGCGTGTTTAATTTCTATTGATTACAACAAACGTACATTATCAATATTTGATTTCATTTTAGAGTGTTAAAAATATTGTTTTGCATATTTAATTTAATTCAATCATAAAAATTGCATAATTAGGGTTATTTCTTTCTAAAATTAGGGTTTTAATTAGTTTCACATTCACTTTAATAATTTAGCTTCGGTTAAGACAACGATAGGTAAAATTGAACTAATCAATCTCTGTCGGACGATATTCAGACTCATTTAATCCACTTTATTACTTGTTAACGAACCGTACACTTGCGGTAGTTTTAAATAGAAAGAAATAATTTCGTGAACATTGCCTAAATTTTCTTTGCTCATGTTTTATACCCAATATTGAGCAAGACCAAGCTAAACAATAGGTATGTTTTTCTTTCTAATGAGTGACATTGCACTACTTTGACAGGGCTGTTTTTCTTGGGAAGCAATGTGCAATATGCTGAAGCCCAAAAGAAAGTTCGCCCAAAAAATTGCCTCAAAATTGGGTACATGACTTGCCCAAAATCTGGTTCAAGGAGGCTTCATCCAGGCTGCACAAACTGTTGCAAAATCAAGAAGGGTTGCAAACTTTATCGACCTAATGGAAGCCTTATTTGTACTGGAAAGTAATTTGGATATGAGATAAATCTTGAATAAACTATCATATGTTTGTACTACAAACATGCAAAATAAATAAATGAATCTGCTATGTTTATGTGAAATGAAATACAAGATTCAGGTTTAATTATATTGTTGGATGTTGTTTCTATGAAATTATCTTTTACATAATTACTTCTCTAAATTTATTGGGTGAGACTTAGATGTTGTATACTCTTATATTGATCTACGATAGCAAAGAGTTGCTGTGGAAACAGTATATACCATAAAATAAATGGGGACACTATAAAAATTGAGTCGGAATAAGAGATTATGCACCTATAGATCTCTTGAAGATAAAATTTCCCCTGGCACATAGAGGTATGGAGAATATACATTGTAGAAAAGAGAATAAACATCCAAAACAGTAACGAAAAAATTACAAAATGATTTATTTATTTATTTATTTTTTTAAGTTGCAAAATGATAAGAAGCTAATAACTGTAACTATAACGGATAAAAAAAATTATTGTAAGATGCAAAATAGTAATTAATATCAAAAACTGTTTTACTTGATATCTTATTTTATTCGTCAAACAAAATTCGTTAATATAATTAAGCATTTCCATTTATCTATTCACAATGTCTGGAAAAAATCAAAGTAATAGAGATTTTTCTATATTTTTCAATACATAAATAAATTACTAAAATTGTTTTTGTTCATTGAAAAACTGGAGCTCAAGGAGAATGGAGATAATAAATTGTATATATCTCACAAAAAAGAAGACCATATTATGAAGAAAATTTATTTAAATAATATATTACGGCTTCTAATAAATTAAATTTAATAATAATATATATAATAGTTAAAACAGACATGATGTAAAAATAAGTAATATATAGTGTGATCATTTTGAACAAGGGTGCGTTCAGCTGTTTATGATGACAAATTTGTTGACTTTTCTATTCCTTTTCAATGATAATGGTTTCTTTTGTTACAAAAAGTAGAAAGTGTTACGATATTAAAGTGTGAATACACGACAAACACATGGTATTTATAAAGCGGTGTGCTAAAAATAATTTGTCAGCCGTTTCTATGTATATGTGATCATTTGAAGCTCTCCATGGAGAATTGCGAAGTTTATTCCTAAAAGGGTTGGTGAGAGAAAAGGAAATAAACACTACAATTTGTTGACCAATGTAAAAATAATAATAAAAATAAGTTCCACGAACTCCATTGTAGAAAAGATAAGTATTGCGACTTTTGTACAATCAGTAAATCTATCAATTGTTGAACAAGTTATATGGAGGCACAAAAAATGAGTCCTAAGTTCAAATTCCCACTATTATATCATAAATAAATAAACAAAGTATTATATTCCTTAAACCAATCAAGTATAATTAAATCCGCAATATCAATACGCAATAGTAATTTAATTTTTTCTTGTACAAGTTCGAGAAAATATAGCAAGTTGTAGACAGACTTGCGCTCTCCTACTTTTTTTTTTTAACATTGAAGTACAACTTGGTGTTGGACTAATGAGTTACAGATCAAGAGTGCAAGTTTCCCAACTATTTACTAGTATGAGAAATTAATTTGTTTGAACAATTCATACACTGGAGTATTATCATTTTTTATCGTCTTATGGTCTAAATTTTAGCTAGGGTTTCTCATTTATTCATGATATAAGAATAAATTGAAGATCAAATCTAAGTCCTCTTTGATTTAGGATCCAACAAGCATTTTGTTACGTTACTTAAAATTAGGAGTTCATGTTTCCAGATTTTGTTAATTTCTTGATTTTAAAAAAGTTTGCTTCCATAATTGATATTCTAAAAATTTATTTAACTAAAGCATCTCCACCGCTAAAATGGTTGTCACATAAACTAAAATCGATAATTTCTACAAAAGTACATCTCTAATATAGAATATCAAGAACTATGTCTAGCTGACGTAACAATAGAAGTAGATAGGTGCATACGGTCACCACAATTTAATATTTCTATGTCTTTATTTCTCTCTACTTTTTCCTATTTTTCTGTCATTATTTTATTTTCTCTCCTATGATATATACTTTAGTGATGAAATTTGATTATGGAAAAAAATCATTAAAGATGAAATTTGCACGAGGTCATCTATTCATTAGATCTTAATGTCCCATATATGGAAAACCATTCTATGTCACCCTAATGACAATCCATGAATAAATTAGAGAACCTCTAAGATTCCTTACTGTTCGCAAAAATTACTGAATTAGCATTTTCAATCTATTGCAATCTTCTGGAGGCAAGTATAAGTGGACTGTAAATGCTTCAAGGATTGCGCACTCAAGTGTCTGCTAAATTTTTTATAGAATTCTTTCTGGAGCATTTCTTTTGTTCCTTGTTTTCTTGTCATATCTCTTCAATCATGAATTGAACATAAAGTATGCAAAAAATATGCACCCTCAATAACTATACTATCAAGATGACTTTCGAATTCTGATGTTCGTTGCCATAAATAAGCGTAAATTACACTTATCACCAAACTCTCCATATATTCTACTTATTCTCAAGTTTTTGTTAAATATTCCTTAATAACCGAATGTGAGTCAATTCATAATTAAAACGTTAAAAGGGTGACTTTAATCCATGTATTTTACTTAATTAATTCACTTTATCAAAATAATAATAATAATAATAATAATAATAATAATAATAATAATAATAATAATAATTCCTTTTCCTACACTTGATTAGGTATATCACGTGAACTTTAATAATCTTTAATGTTGTGAATTAACATGTATTTGTAAGTTTGAATTGGTTTTTGCTTACGGACCATGCGTGGACTTTCTCTTTACATATAAAAAAGTCATCACCTAATAATACTACTTTTACCCTATAAACAACTAAAAATAATATGTACTATGTTGGGTTTTTGACCCAAATTAGAGTGGATTTTTTTTGAAAATAAATTATTTCCTTATTTTTATATGGGAAAATTTGTTTCCTTGTATTTCACGTGAGTTTTATGGAAATATATTATTTCCTTATTCCACATTATTTCGATCTTTATGCTATGCCATGTACTTATAAATAGTAGTATCCTCTTTTAGTTTAGTAGAAGCCAAATTGCTTGGTCGTTGTATTGTCTCCATATTGTCAATTAATAATACATCTTGCCTCTGCGTTAATTCTTCCTTTTTTTCCTTTACTTTATACCTTGATATATATTTTTATATTGTTGCAATCCATATTAACTTCATATCGCATCATTAACTTCATTCTTTACAACCCGTCGATCCCAACAAGTGGTATCAGAGTTGGGGTCTTCTGTGGATTGGTTGAAGTTTTTCAGAGATGGTTGCCATGAAGTTTGATATTTCCCTGCTCGATTGCAATACAAGATTTTTGTCGTGGCAAGTAAAGATGAGGGTTATTTTGGTGCAGTTAGATTTGGACGATGTGTTGCTGGGTTTTGAGAAGAGCCAGCTAATTGGACAACGGAGGAGAAACAACGAAAGGATCGGAAGGCTTTTTCATTGATTCATCTTCATCTATCCAACAATATTATGCATGATGTCTTAAAAGAGAAAACGACTGCTACTTTATGGTTGAAACTAGAGCAGTTGTGCATGACAAAGAGTCTTACTAGCAAACTGGCTCTAAAGCAAAAGTTGTATTCCCAACACATGGCAGAAGGAAGGTCGTTGGAAGACCATATTGCCCTGTTCAAGGAAATTATCGCAGATTTGGAGATGTTGGAGGTTAAATATGATGAAGAGGATCTGGCCTTGATCCTATTATGTTTGCTACCGGACTCTTATGCATGGTTTCAGGACACCACATTGTACAGTCGGGATACATTGACGATAGACGATGTCTATAATCATTGCACTCAAAGGAGAAGTTGAAGCATTTGATTGGTGATACATCAAGTGATGGGAAAGCTCTTGTATCTCATGGTGGTCGATGGAGGGGCAGATTTAGGGAGAGAAGCAATGTGTATTGCTTCTACTGCAGATGGAGAGGACACTTGAAGAATGATTGTGAGAAGTTGTAGGCTAAAGGCGATTTAGCTGCAAAACATAGGGGGTAATCATGGAATTTCGGACGAGACTAATGTGACCGAGGATTTTTTAGATGGCGGAGATGTGATGTTGACTGTGGTTTCTGATGTGGAATCTAAGCCTGACGAGGAATGGATTCTTGATTCGGCATGTTCGCACCATATGTGTTTCAATAGGAATTTATTTCAAACATATGAGGTTGTTCAGTAAGGTGAAGTTGTAATGGGGAACAACAAGTCTTGCCCTATTGCTGGAATCGGTCGAGTTAGATTGTGGTTGCCGGATGGGATGGTTAGAACACTTGGCCAAGTTCGAAATGTTCCAGACCTAAAGAGAAATCTCATCTCGCTAAGTACCTTGGATGCAAAAAGGTATAAATTCTTTGGTGGAGGTGGAGTCTTGAAGGTTCGAAGAGGTGTCCAGGTTATAATGGAGGAACGGAAGAGATCCCAGTTGTACATATTGCAGGGAAGCACAAAACTAGTTTTGAGACATTAGGACAAGTTCAGTACCATGGTGGATATACAGATTGGTGCAGTAACTCTTGTGATCGGCTCTAGATCAGTTCAGAATACTGCTAAGGAGAGCGTTGGTGATTTCGCTTTGCTACCAATTTCAGCGGATGCACTGTGTTCAAATGTCAGGGGTGGACTCATGGAGCATAGGTACGGTGGTGTTATTGATATCTATGATGCTTTTGGGATCGTTGAAGGTGACAGTTCTGACAAAGGGCCTTCTGATCAAGCACTTGGTTTGGTGTCTGCTACAGGGTGTGCTTTGACCTTGTTTGGCCAACAGTAATTCCTTGGTAGAATTTTGGGAACTCGGATTTGGGTTTAGGTGTCGCTTGTAGATGCCTTGCAGAGGAAGATGGTTTAGTTAGGAGAGTTTTTGTTACTATGTTGAGGAGATTGGCTATTTCGATGCAAATGGATTTGAAATCTTGGAATTTCGTTCGTTGCACCGAAATTTGGGTCACGGTGGAGATTGTTGGGTTTTTTACCCAAATTAGAGTGGATTTTTTTTTGGAAAT